GACCAACCCAAAAAATAAAATACAAATGATTTGAATGTAAATATGATTACTTTTTTCGAGTGTTAAATACGTATTGTATGGCAAACGCATAGAATTAATTAAAAAAATGTAGTGTATAGAGTGCTGTACATGTATACGTGTCCAGTATTGTGTACACTACAGGAAGATAAATCGTGGGCGGCTAAACCTCACCACCTTCTCACTGGAGGCTGGGAACACCGCGTGGCCTGGGAGCTGCGATGGGCCTCTTCATATTCTCATGACGTGACTATCACTCATTCCCCATTCCTTCAATCCATGCATCATCATTTACTGTCATAAATGTGGCTTTGACCAAATTCGCACATCACAGATTCGCCCATTGCTTTCTCTCCTCTATGTTATTCACCTCATGTCCACCATTGCATTCATATGTACCATTGTTCTCTGTAAAGCCCCTTGGTTAAGGCGCTATATAAATAATGTTAAGATAAGATAAGATGAAAATACGTAAAAGCTACGTCAATAAAAGAGCGGGTTAAAATCCCTGCCATCTCTCGATAAGCAGCTTGCAGGATCATATTTTTCTCTGCCTGAATGGAATAATGTATAACTAAAGTGGCCTTACTCTTTGGTTCTTTCGGTAAAGTCACGGACGGTAGAAAAATAAGACAATATAAAAATAATATATCACGACGTTTCGATCACAACACAAGCGGTCGTCCTCAGACGCAAAAAATAATCCAGCAGTGGAACTGCTGAACCAGCGAGAGAGCTGTTACAACAATGTTATATATGTGGCGATGGGCAAGCAAGCGGGGCCTGAGCTGGAAAGGAATTCCATCGACGGACGCAAGCACGTCGGTTGTGTTAATGGGGGAGATTAGGGAGAGAGAGATTAGGGAAGGAGATTAGCATGAATGAGCTTCTGTCGCTGCTTAAGAGTATCATCCCCGCATATGCGCACAACAGCAGTGTTAATGAGAGATTAGCACCATGAGAGTACAATCCAAAGGACATGCGAGCATGAGAGTGCAATCCAAAGTACATGTGAGAGATGTAAGAGAGAGGCACAGAGAGAGAGAGACACAGAGAGTCGGAAATAACAGCTGACATTGGCAGGTAGGATGGAAACATCACAGTGAGTTAAAATTTTACCTGATTAATAACGTCCTTCCAATGATTGCTCAGTTTGTACCCATCTTCTCGGTTGAAGTTGTGTCTGTGTTTATATATCTGGATGGCTTCATGAACATATCTCTGAAGGTAGCTGGTGGGTTTGCAGAGTACCTTCGTCTTGGAAAGATCAATTTCGTGTGAGCCCACAGCGTTAAAACAATGATCAGCAACGGCAGAGGTATTGGTCCTATCATGTTTCAGATCTGCCTTGTGTTCACGAACGCGGTCCGAGACATGCCGTTTCGTTTCCCCAATGTAACTGCTGCCACAACCACAACTCAGTTTGTAGACACCAGGGTATTGCATGTCAGGAATCACATCCTTTACAGATGGGATCAAATCACAACTGACTTAAAACAACTGACGTGCTTGCGTCCATGGATGGAATTGCTTTCCAGCTCAGACCCTGCTTGCTTGCCCACTGCCACATATATAACCTTGTTGTAACAGCTTTCTCGCTGGTTCAGCAGTTCTACTGCTGGATTATTTTTTCCGCCTGAGGACGACCGCTTGTGTTGCGATTGAAATGTCGTGATATATTATTTTTATTTTGTTTAATTTTTCTACCTGCGTGACTTTACCGAAAGAACCAAAGAGTATGGATTCCTGCAGTCATGAAAACTTCAAATCACGATTAAAGTGTCCTTGCTAAGTGTCGTGGGGAAAACCTTCAGAGGTTAAGGTTCTGTCCATTCTAGGTACATGTAGGCCACCTCGAATCGGCAAACAAATGCTCTCCAGTCCCCTCCTTCTCCACGTTGCCCAACCTATATGGTCGATCAGTGCCCTCTGCTCACCGTTGCTCCTATTCCCCTGATTATAAATTCATGTGCCCTGTTCTGTGGCTGCTGCACGTACTTTGGACCATTGTTCTTGTGCTTCTCTGCATGGTTCCCACACTCTGCTGCTAGCGTTCGTGGTGGCCATTACTGCTGGGTCTGGCATGTTTCACGCCATTTCAATTCCGATGGCAGCCCTCGGTGTTGTTCCCACCAAATTTGATTCTGCTCCCCCTGGAGGCTGATTTTTTCCGTCCTTACATTTTTCAGCCTATTTCACAGCCTCCGATGGGCTCACCAGCCCGGGGAAGTTGGATCCCGTCAATCGTGGTGTCTGGCTCTTACCCATCAACAGCACTGGCTCCTCTGTCCCTGACGCCGATGTCTCCCACTCTCCATTGTGGGTGGCGACCATCGCTGTTCCTCATGCTGTCCCCACTTCTGGGTTTCCTGCTGGAACTGAAGGAGAAGAAGAAGCCGCTTTGGGCACCAAGCGGGCTACCGCCGGACGAGCCGCCATCTTGTCTTCTGGCAACTGTTGCAGGAGAAGCATTACCGCCTCTGTGAGTTGATCAACTCGGTCTGTAAAGGGCCTCCTTTTCTCGTGGGGTGGAGAGCTCTCAGATTAGTCACTCCTTGCCTTTCACCATCTCCTTATGGTTTGAGGAGCCATCCCGACTCCATCTCCGGATGATGGCTATTTGGGCTGTTGGGAGTGGAGGCGCATTCTTCGCTCTCTTTGCTGGCATCTCGGTCGGGATTATTTCGGTTACCGCATCGAGGCGTCTTCATGATCTCACCGCTACCACCAGTTGTAATAAGTCCACCCAACGAAGGTTGAGATTGACACACTCCTCTTTATTTCCCACATGAGCTCACGCTGCGTGCGACCACTCCAAATCCCACCAGGAAGCGCCCTGATTGCCCCACATCATCCAGTGATGATACCACTCCCCTCATGGGCGTTCCCTCTCTCGCCCAGCCTTCTCTTTCCTTGCGTTACCTTTAACAATAACCTGTGATCCTTTGGGTGTAAGTATTAACACTACACTAGTACAGCACACTGGTGTGTTGGAGAGTAAATCCACAACTTTTACAATCTGAGTACGACTTTCACCAGTAATTACAACCAGCAACATCAGGTGACAGATTGTAAATGTTGTCGATTTACTCTCCAACACACCAGTGTGCTGTACTAGTGTAGTGCTGAACTTTACGCGGAAAACTTCTTCCTTTTCTGTCGTCACTTTATTTTATCCAACTCAGCACATTTCGCCACCATTGTCCAGCGCGTTCTCCGCTCGCTTGCCGCGCTTCACCGGCCTCGCTCGCTCCATTCCTCCCTCTCTCTCCGTCTCTCCCGACTCCCCTCTCTGCTTCTCCGTCCCACTCCAGCCGTCGCTCTCTCTCGGCTTCTCCATCTCACTCTGACTGTCTCTCTCTCTCGGCTTCTTCATCTCACTCCGACTGTCTCTCTCATTCCCGTTCCACTGCTAGCCTATCCATCCTCTCGTCACCTCCTCTTCCCTTGCTCCACCGCTACCCTATTCTACCTCTCGTACCTTCCTCATCTCCGTCTCTACTGCTACCCTATACTTCTTCTTCTACTCCACTGCTACTCTGTACTTCTTCTGCTACTCCACTGCTATCCTATACTTCTTCTTGTATCTTCTGCTCCGACCGTCTCCGTCCAGCTCCCAGCACATCTCCCTGTCTCTCTCTGACCCTCCCGTATTTATCCCCGTCCCTATTAATTTCCAATTAATTAACTGGCGTCCTCCCCAATGCCCCGCGCCCCCAGCCCCTGCTGCCACCTGTCCCCATTCCCAGACTTAAAGGCGCTACCTTGTCCCTGACAACAACAACCGGCCAATCACTGCTCTGCATCCATAATTGCCTAACGGGCCGTCTCCGTCTCCCCCGTTGTCCCCCAGCAACACCAGCATGTCCCGATACGACCCCACTGTTCCCAGCCCGCACGTGTTTACAATTAACTCCCTTGGTGCACGTTAAACGACTAGACTAGTAACGAATTGGAATGTTCTGTTTACGTGCCAAACCTTACTAATTGTCTGTGTTGGGTGGTGGTGGATTTACCGACACATTTATATTTACACAATCTAACAAAAAAAACCCCCTGCATTACAGAAAACCACACTCGGTTATAAATCAACAGAACCAACCCAACTAATATCTGTATATATTTAAACCGAGGAGTAAAAATATACTATGAGACCTCCTTTACCAGTGGCAAAATATAGTAATAGGTTTTTACCCTTTCAACTGGTACAAAAACTGACACCTTTATACAAGGCATCATGTTTGAAATAACCACAACACAAGCAGTCAAAATCCAAACAAAAAGAAATAACTCTGATAATGATATGCACTGTCCTTGAAGTTGATTGGTCCACACCCGAGACAGCTTTTCTTAGAGCCTAATCTCCATTGGTGTTAGACCAGATGACGCCAAAAGGCGTACAACTCATAAACAGCGCACTATCAGAGTATTGAGAGCTCGGGGTAAGCATTTACACTATGAGACCTCCTTTACCAGTGGAAAAATATAGTAATAGGTTTTTACCCTTTTAACTGGTACAAAAACTGACACCTTTATACAAGGCATCAGCTGTCTCGGGTGTGGACCAATCAAACGAAATGTTTTAACCGAACATTTAAACTAACAATAACATATTTAAGAATTATAGGTAAGAGACATATACACTATTCAAACATAGAATAGAAACAGCATGATTGGTCAAATATTTGATAATTACATTGACCACGTGTCAATAGCATCTTTGCAAATGTGGCAATGTTGCCTGGTAGTGGAGATGTTCCATGAGACATGGGTATTATGCGATCCTCTTACCTCGCATGGGTAAACTTTTCGAGGAAGGTTTTATTACGACTTCGCACACCATGGCCACACTTATGCCAGTTCGTAAGATAATCAAATACATCCAGGCCACGTGTTTAGTTCAGTGCAGGTCAGGTTTAGAGTCCAACTCAGGTGTAAAGTCCACGGCATCCTTTATCTACCATTAACAACTTGCAGGTGAAACAACTTCTGGAGCAACTTACCTATACATATCAATAGTACACGTACGTATTCTTGGGTCTTTCGGTAAAGTCACATAGATAGGTTCAAAGAAAATAACAAAAATAACAAAAAACTACGAAATTTTGATCGCAACACAAGCAATGAGTTGACCTTGGGGATGAGGCCCAGGACTGGTTCAGGTAACTGCTGGTGTTGGTGGTAGCCGTGAGTGGGAATCGAACTCGGGTCTCTGCTGGATTAGGAGTTTAGTGCTAACGGTACAGACAGCATGCCCTATGCTGTGGAAGAATGAGTTTATCTCTCTTTACTCACCTCATATCAGAAACATCAAAATTGAGTCTTCTCTCTGATGTATATGGACAACAAAGCTCTGATTTAGATCTATGGAGATGGGTACGGTATCCGTGTAAATCTTGAGGCTGGTGTTTGTGCACCAAGGCCAGGAGTTCAAATTCCAGGCAGTGTCTCGTGATGTAAATGACGACAATTAAAATAGCTTAAGGTTTTAACTTCCTTCTTCACCGTCGCTATAAAGGGAGGTCCTGGTCCAACGTCTCTCTGAACCACACAGCGAACAATCCAAGTGAAGTCATGATTCATGGCCAGCGCGACTCCCAGTGAGAGTGTGGACGGTGATTTGTGCTGCTCCATCTGCCGGGGCACGTTCGTCTGCCCCTAAATGCTGAGCTGCACTCGTTCTGCCTCCGGTGCCTGGAGGCAGCCTGGGAAACGGCGAGCAGCTGTCCGCAGTACCGAGTGGCCTTCTCTGCATGACCCCAGCTGAGGAAGAACGTGGCACTCACCAACCTGGCGGAGCAGCTCAGAGTTGGAGACAAAATGGCCATGACCGTCGTGTGTGACATCTGCAGTGACGGCCAGACTCCTGCAATGAAGACCTGCCTGAGATGTGAGATGTCCTACTGTTTTTCCCATTTCAAGCCTCACTTGGATAATTCAAGATTGAAAGACCACGCCGTTGTGGATCCCACTGGAAGCTTGGACGAGCGAATATGCCCTGAGCACAGTGAGGAGTTGAAATTCTACTGCACAGTAGACAGCAGCTTGGTCTGCTCATCTTGCAACATCGCAGGTGAACACAAAGGACATGATGTCACCACACTGAAGGACGAGCACGAGAAACGGAAGGTGAGGCCCTCAAAGTGAGACACCGCAACATGATCGGACCATTTTTTGTCACTAGGCTGCACAACATCTGAAGGAAAAAACAATGGTGTGTTCATGCTCTCTCGTATGAATCTCTGTCTATTTGCATATGTAGCTACACTCTTGGTTGGCGTTTCAGGAAACAAACTCAGACTTTATTGTATGTTAGGCTCTCACTAAATATAATTGCCATATAAAAGATTAATGTGGACAGAGATTGGGAACCGATATCACAGCCACCTGACAATTCTATTAGATTTATCTTCTAGACTAGACAGCTGTGGGCACATGGGCTCTTGGGTCCAAGTCGGTGCAGACACTAAGCCAGTACGGTTCCCACCGGCTGCTGCTGTAACGAGGTATCCGTTTTTCCACTCCCCATCCCCCCCCCCCGTCTCAATCACCATGCAGGGGCAGCATGGAGATGAGGGCCTACACTGTGGAGGGATCGGTGTGGAGGGTAGGGCGGTGTGAAGGGTGGCTCAGGGGACTGGAGTCTCCCTGTGGTGACGTCTCGTCTCTGATTACAGATGTACGTAGGAGAGGAGACACGAGCAGTGGAGGAGAAGATAAATGAGACGGAAAAGTACTTGAAGCGGATGTATACCGCTCACAGGAAGGCGAAGGTACCATGTCTGGGTGTGGCTCCGTGACCTCCACCCAGTGCGGAAGTCGTGGAGGTCATAATTAATTCAAGCGAATTTCTTGCAGCGCAATCACTTTGAAGCCTCGTAACTATAGCATTCACTTTCAAACTCAAAGTTAACTATGTTCACCGCATTCGATAACCGCATCAGTAAGCCTGTCTTGACGTCAGATAACTCGGCACTGCGAGTTCTACTCCTGTGGCAAAAAAAAACACATAGAGAGTGCACGGATTCTCGGGGTAGAACTGTAGTGCAGCTGTTCTGCTGCATGGGAGGTCGTGCACCGGCACAAACGCAGAGGCACGAACACCGCATAGCTGCACCGCGCGCCATCCCTAACCGCATCCCAGGAGTAAATTTAAGCTATAATTTTTTTTTTTACCTGGTAAGGCCCTACTGAGCTGTGTCGTTATAAAGGTAGGAACAATGTTCCACACTGCCCACCAGGGATTTTTTATCTGTCTGTCTGACTGTCGAGCATAAATAAATATATAATACAAACACCTCTTTGATTGGTGGAGACCTACTGCCGGGTACGGAGAGGGGCCTAAGGGAAGGGGGGCCAGGGGAGGGGCCTAAGGATATGGGGGGGGTGGTCAGGGGAGGGGCCTAAAAGAGGGGGGGTCAGCAGAGGGGCCTGAGGGAGGGGGGAAAGGGGAGGTGCCTAAGCAAGGGGGAGGGGCCAATAGTTAAGGGGGTTGAGGATGTCGGGGAGGGTGGGGGGAAGGTAAACACGCCCACTCATCCAACTGCCCCCCCCCCCTGAACGCCGCGCTGAGTGTGTGTGTGAGTCTGACAGTGTGAGAGTATGTGTGTGTGAGTCTGAAAGTGTGAGAGTGAGTGTGTGTGTGTGAGAGTGAGTGTATGTGTGTGCGAGTCTGAGAGTGTGAGAGTGAGTGTGTGTGTAAGTCTGAGAGTGTGAGAGAGAGTGTGTGTGAGAGTCTGAGAGTGTGAGGGTGAGTGTGTGTGTGAGTCTGAGAGTGTGAGAGTGAGTGTATGTGTGTGTGAGTCTAAGAGTGTGAGAGTGAGTGTATGTGTGTGTCTAAGAGTGTGAGAGTGTGTGTGTGTGAGTCTGAGAGTGTGAGGGTGAGTGTGTGTGTGAGTCTGAGAGTGTGAGTGTATGTGTGTGTGAGTCTAAGAGTGTGAGAGTGAGTGTATGTGTGTGTGAGTCTAAGAGTGTGAGAGTGAGTGTATGTGTGTGTGAGTCTAAGAGTGTGAGAGTGAGTGTATGTGTGTGTGAGTCTAAGAGTGTGAGAGTGAGTGTGTGTGTGTGAGTCTGAGAGTGTGAGGGTGAGTGTGTGTGTGAGTCTGAGAGTGAGTGTATGTGTGTGTGAGTCTAAGAGTGTGAGAGTGAGTGTATGTGTGTGTGAGTCTAAGAGTGTGCGAGTGAGTGTGTGTGTGTGAGTCTGAGAGTGTGAGGGTGAGTGTGTGTATGAGTCTGAGAGTGAGTGTATGTGTGTGTGAGTCTAAGAGTGTGAGAGTGAGTGTGTGTGTGTGAGTCTGAGAGTTTGAGGGTGAGTGTGTGTGTGAGTATGAGAGTGTGAGAGTGTGTGTGTGAGTCTGAGAGTGTTAGGGTGAGTGTATGTGTGTGTGAGTCTGAGAGTGTGTGTGTGTGAGTCTGAGAGTGTGAGAGTGTGAGTGTGTGTGTGAGTCAGAGAGTGTGAGAGTGAGTGTATGTGTGTGTGAGTCTGAGAGTGTGTGTGTGAGTGTATGTGTGTGTGAGTCTGAGAGTGTGTGTGTGAGTGTGAGAGTGTGAGCGTGTGTGTGTGTGAGTCTGAGAGTGTGAGCGTGTGTGTGTGTGAGTCTGAGAGTGTGAGAGTGAGTGTATGTGTGTGAGTCTGAGAGTGTGAGAGTGAGTGTGTGTGTGTGTGTGAGTCTGAGAGTGTGAGCGTGAGTGTGTGTGTGTGAGTCTGAGAGTGTAAGCGTGAGTGTGTGAGTATGAGAGTGAGAGTGTGTGTGTGTGAGTCTGAGAGTGTGAGGGTGAGTGTGTGAGTCTGAGAGTGAGCGTGTGTGTGTGCGAGTCTGAGAGTGTGAGAGTGAGTGTATGTGTTTGAGAGTCTGAGAGTGTGAGAGTGAGTGTATGTGTGCGAGTCTGAGAGTGTGAGAGTGAGTGTGTGAGTCTGAGAGTCTGAGAGTGTGTGTGTGTGTGAGTCTGAGAGTGTGAGAGTGAGTGTGTGTCTGAGAGAGTGAGTGTGTGTGTGTGATTCTGAGAGTGTGAGAGTGAGTGTGTGTGTGAGTCTAAAAGTGTGAGAGTGAGTGTGTGTGCGTGAGTCTGAGAGTGAGTACATGTGTAGGGCTGTTACAGAGGGTCTGTTTGTGTAGGGCTGTTTACATAGGGGCTAATGGAAAACAGACACAGTGGGCGGGGTCTCCGTGAGCACACGGGGTGGTGCCCGCAACGACGTCCGTACTGGACGGCGTGAGGGGGGTTTCGATCCTCTAACGGGGTATAAAAAGGGTTGAGCCAGAGAGCTCGGGGCTCAGTCTTAGAGTAGTTAAGAGAAGAGAGAAGACCAGCCAGATAGGCCCTGGACTCCCCCTGGGACGCCGCCCTTGTAAGGGCAGTGCAGGCTGGAGCCAGTGGCGTGGTCCCGGAACCAGAGTCAGACCTCTGGGATTCCGGGTACCGTAGCCCGACTAACCAGTGTCGGGCCAGACAGCCTCCCCTAGCCCGTTAGCGGAGGACTCAGCTAGGAAGGCTAGCTAGGGGTGAATTCCCAGTTGTACGGGTGAGGGGGCCGATACATCCCTCTAGTACTGTAAGCCCTTTGTGTAAATAAATACGTGTGCCTTACCCCGTTGTCCACGCGTCTTCAACAACACTTCATCTGGCGTCAGAAGTACCAAGAACATGGACACGCGCCAAACAGCTCGAGCCAGGGAACAGCGGGCGGAGGACGCCGCCGAAATTGCCGAGCCCGAGATGGCTCTACTAGACGACGTGCAGCCGGGGCCGGATGCGGGCTTACCGGAGCATCGCCATGAAGAGGAGCAGCGGGGAGACGACCTGAGGCTGGCTCATGAGAGGCTGGCGGAACTGCTCTACGCCGCTGCCGCTGCGCTGGGGGACATCACACGGCTGGCGGCTGGTGGTCCACCGCGGGGCGAGAGGAACCGGCGTGGGGAGCGTCTTCCCGCCATTTCTGAAGATTTAAATTTTGAAATTCCCGCCATCGACGCAGCGACCGCTAGGGGCGTGGCCAACCTCAACCTGGGGTCCGACATCGGCCGCGCTGGGGCTGCTGCATCAACGACGGAGGAGGGCGCGTCATCAAAGCTGCGACAGGCGATGCCATCTGCCATTCGCGCCGAGACGCAGCCGAGTCGGGGAGGCAGCAGTCCACGGGACTCCACGGCAGCCGCTGCGCTACACCAAAGGCTGCCCCCGCTTAAAGAATTCGTGGGCGCAGAGGGCGACTGGAGCGGCTTTCAAAGACGCTTCCTCGCCCACCAGGAGATGGCTAAATGGACGGACGAAGAAGCTCTCAGCGCCCTGCCGGCGCTCCTGGACGGCGACGCGCTTGCCGCCCTAACATCGGCACCCAAGGAAAGGCGCTCCACGTTACCGATGGCGCTGCAGCTGCTGGGAGGGGTCTACGGACCGTCGGCGGAATGCAGACAAGAGTTCTACGACCGCAAGCGGGGAGAGAAGGAGTCGCCCCTAGCGTACCGAACGAGCCTCCTGGCGATGGCCAAGTCGGCCTTCCCCCGGATGGATGACGACGGCATCGACGCTATGGTAACGGAGAAGATACTCCTCCTGGCCGACGATCTAGACATCGCTGTCGTCGCACAGGAGGACGCGGAAATAACATCGCTCCAGGCGGCGCGGCTCCTCCACGCAAACCTCCTGTCGCTTCGACGCAAAGCCAGCAGGGCATCGGCGGGGCGTGCGGTGGCTGCAGCCACCCTTCCGACGGAGGAACTCTACGCCGTCGACCACCGACGGCAACAGGCGACGAGTGCACGGCCGGGCCAGGACGGGTCAGGCCGTTCCGACCACTCGTCACCTCCGACATCGCTCCCGCGGTGTTATAACTGCGGCGTCCGGGGCCACGTCGCCTCGGGGTGCCGCTCTCCTCGTCAGCGCGGGACGACACCTCACCGGGACGACGGGCCTCATCCCAAGCTCCACCGTCAAAAACCGGCGAGTCGCGGCACCCCACACGTTTGGCCCACACACACACCCGTCACGCACTCAAACACTGCGACGAGAGGGGGGCCGGTATCACGCACCATCGCACCATCACGCACCACTCCGGGTACCCATATCGAACCCGGCCAGTGGTCCGTGCTGGCCGATCGTGTGGTTGCCGCATCGTCGGGGTCGTCGGCCGTTGTAGGATATATCGACGGGGTGGAAGTGCGCATCCTGGTCGATACGGGGGCATCGGCGACTATTATTTCGGAATTAATTTACAATATTCTCCCTGTCCGGGGCCGTCCTTTGATGCCTGTTAACGTACCATTCTATGCGGCTAACGGGGGCTCACTTGGCATCATCGGACAAATTCGTGCCCAAATTTGTATTGGGGAAATTAAATTGTCTGGGCCGATTTTTGTTTCGTCCTCGCTGGCGGTTCCGTGCCTGCTGGGGACGGACTTCCTGGCCAAAATGCCGATTGTAATTTTGATCGACCAGGGGTGCATAGAGCTTCCATCGGGCAGACGCATGGCGTTCCTGCCATCACCAGTTGCGACTCGGACGGCGTTCGCGACGGTGCCGGCGTTCGTGGAGAGAACGGTACGCGTTCCTCCGGGAACGCAAATGTTGGTGCCCTTGAAGCTTCGGCGGCCCCTCGTTAAGGGTGCCGGGGCGCAAGGGGTACTGTTGGGACCGTCTAGGGCCGGGGTTAGTGGGCCTGATTTACTACCGGCCCAGACCATAGTGAGAGGGGATAGTGAACCCTTCATCGCGGTCCTAAACGTGGGCTCGCAGACGGTGGTGCTCCCACAGGGGACCGTGCTTGCTCACGCAA